CTGGCAGACGGAGTGTGGTGTCTCAGAAGTCTCCTGCTTCCTCTGAGCACCCCAACTGTCTTGAAGTTACTTGTAAAGCTTGATGCTGGGAAAGATCGCTGGGTCGTACGTCTGATTTGACAATTCAGTCCTGTGTGTTCGGTCAGTAGCAAAGACTACTTAGATACTCTCAAAAAGCCTCAGGAGCCAATCTGAAGAAGTTCCCATCAGGCAAAGATGGAACGATTTGAAATTTAATAAGAATAAGTGCCATAAATTAAAACATAACAAATATACTTAAATCCGTGAGTGACTAATGATACTAAACACAAAACCAACCAAATAAAAACCCCTCTCTGGTCAATTTTGTAGGGTGCTAGGGAACCAAATTAGTATTTTGAAAACTTGTACATAAAAAGAAAGATTACTCTTTCCTATGCCTTGGGGTAATCAAATACTTAGTAAGGTGACATTTTTCTTTATGGAAGTATTCCAATGAATAAATAAAGATGGAATGGTAAAATATCACCATTTTGTAACCCCTAAAAGATTAAGGGATCTGGGCAATGACTGTCAATAGCTGCCAATATCACATACACAAAAAGACAACCAGAAGCACATAACACCACCTACGAAATAGTCTTGCAGAAACAAAACCAAAACATGTTATCTAGCCTCTAGATCTAACTAACTGCCAATTTACAAGAAATGTAGGTGACAAAGAAACATGTTCAAGGATCCCACTGGGATGCAGTTTGCACAATCCAGACTTAAGGAAATACATCAGGATAAACAACCTAGTTTCTTCAACAATAACAAAAAAGTTCAAGGAAGAAAAAAATGATTCAGAGGGAAACCTACAGATTGAAAAAGACTTAGGAGACATTTCAATGGATTGCAACGTATGGCCCTTGTTTGGATCTGGATTCAAAGGACAAAGAGTCAACCAAACAAACAAATGACTTGATGAAGTGTGAGTGAACACTGGATATTTTAGGATCAAGAAATTATTGTTCATTTTTAATGTTATAATGATATTGCAGTTATTTTTTAATAAACATATGTACTAAAATATTTGTAGATGAAATGATATGATGCCTGAGATTTACTTCAATATAATCCAGTGTGAGAGGGAGCGGGTAGAAATGCATGTGAAACACAATTGGCCTTTTTGATTGGCCTCTTTGATTGCCGTTGAAGTAAGATGATAATCAGGTAAATCAGGTTCATTATATATTTTTTCCACCTGTGTCTGATATAACTTAAGTCTAAAAAGGTCACTGGTTGCTGTGTACAGGAGGGACTGGGAGGATGAGGTAGTAGTAGGAGGTCTCTTAGGAGGTTACTGCAGTCCCCAGGCACTAGCTGATGCCATCGGTGGGGGTAGTGAGAAGTGCTTGCATTCTGGATATACAGCATTTAGAAAGCAGAGCCACACAATTTTCTGATGGATATGATGTGGTGTGATAAAATTCTCATGATCTTTAGTTGGATTTACAAATAAGATCAGAAGAGAAACCAGAGCATAAAAAAATCATTATTTATAGATTTTAAACCATAAAATGTTCACCTTGTTTAAAAATTTAAAAATGAGATTACTTTTTATGATCAGGAAAAAAAAGCTTTTTGTCGGGTTTTGAAAACAGAATAAATAAAATACTGCCGAAACAACAGTTCTGAGGCATTGATACATTAACAAAATTGAATAAGCTATTCTGGGCCTATGATTTAGAAAATAAAGGTACACAATTTCACCTGAAACATTTGGTGCTACATGCTTCAGAATTTAGAACTTTTTAGATTTTGGAAAGGTAGTAGAGGGCATATATGGTGTACTGTGTTCCCCTCACCAAGATCTGGGGCAGGTTCCTTTAATTAAATGCATTAATATTTCTGCAGTGAAACATATTAACATTCCCACTAAATGAAATAAAGTTAATAAATGGTCTTATATTTGAAGAGCTTGGGTGTATTAGCGAATGAGTTTTTGAGCCAAATGTAAGAAAACATCTTTTGGTTTTCAGATTTGGGTATTGCAGATAAAGAATTTCAATTCAATTTGGCATAGCTTTATTGAATACCTACTATGTTTTCCTATTCTTGAAGACCTTTACAGGAATTAAACCAGTAAACCAATAACTTTAGCATGAATAGAAGGTGGGGACATTCCAGGCAGCAAGAACAAAAGAGAAAAACACAAACGCTGTTAAGAGTGGGTTGTGTTCAGGGAACAAAATAGCTGAGTTTGATTTGTTCTATTTGACAGAACATAAGATTATATATTCTAATAAAGTAGGCAGCTGATGTTTGAAAAGTTGTGCTCCTTTTACCATTATCGGCATGCTATATTTTATTAGCATTGTGTATGTGTATGTGTACGTGTGTCTAACATTTCAAGGGCTAGGGCCCTTGGTGAGACTTCTCAGAATTTAACACTCTGGGTAGTAAGTAGCTGAAAGGCTCTCTGAACCATTAATACAGCATGGATGACTAAGAATGTTTCTGTGGGTTGGGTCCGTGCCATTCAGCAGGAAGTGTAATAAGACGACTTTCTAAGCATGGTGTTCAGCAGTCTCCCCTCTTCCATGGAAGGTATCGGGGTACACCATGTAAACAACCAGTTTTGGGGGACACTGGCCTCAGACTGTATAAGAATACAACTGCACTGATGTCATCTGCTGAATTGAGTTCACTCTGTTTAGTGAGCCATATTAATTTTTTGGCACTGCAAAATGAAAACCCTATTAAATCTTTAGCCTAACTGAACATGGTAAACTGAGGGTAGTTTCAATGCAGAGAGATTTCAGGTAGGACAAGCCATTCTTGAAAGACAATTTGGGTAAAAGCTGTTCTTACTTTTGCATTGACAGAGTGGGCTTGTGACCTAAATAAGGTATGGGTTAAATGGTATTTTCACAATTGGCCCATTTTCTACATTTTCTATCAGACAGAGAACTGCGGTAATCAAAGGGCTGGCCTCAGCCATAATGGATGTACCAAAGGAGGAGGAAGGGACATTGTGAGGTTGTAGGGCTGTGGTTGACATCAAACATCAAGGTGCTGTCAGCTGGAAGAGCAGCACAGACAGCTGGGTGGGGTCGCATCCTGGATGTGGCTGCCTTCAGCCACTGCTGCCCCTGCTCTACACAACTGGGGACTGGAGCTGGGGTCACGTTTTATAACCACAGGGTTCTTGAGTGCTGTGGTTACCAGGTTCTGTAGTGGCACCCACTGATCTCCCGCTGGGGCTCCATCCAGGACTGCTTGGTGAGATAACACATCACCATCCCTTCTGCTGGGAACTGCAACTGCATGGACTTACTATGCATCAGGCTCTGTGCAGAGGTTTTACATTAGCCTCATTTTGCCTATAAGGAAACCCAGGCTAGAAGAGATGAACATAACTGGCTTTGGAATCAGAAAAATCTGGGTTTGAGTGTTTTCTTCAACATCTTGCTCTGCGACCTCTGGCAAAGACTTTTAACCTCTTGCTAAAAATTGTAAAAATAGAGCTAAGACTATATACCTCATAGCTTTGATACGATGATTCAATAAGATAAAGAAGGTAACGTTGGCACTGGCCTGAGACAGTAAGCATTGAAAGTCACATAGCTATGGTAACTAGGAGCGCTGGAATTCCAATTCTTCTAGCTCAACGGCCTGAGCAGTTATTTTATATGTGGCAATTATGGTTGTTTTCAAGGAAGCCCTCTGGATGGATGCGCTAGGACAATAGTAATGCCTTGTAATAGCTCAGTGTCATAAACATTCACTCTCTTACAATGAGTGCTTCCAGGGACCTTGAGACATAAGCAAAGGTAATTAATATACGGCACGACTCCAGGTGAGAAACTGTGATGAGAAAGTGCTTGAGAACAAGCTCTGGTCCTTACCACTTCACGCTTCTCCACTTCAAACCAGCGGGAAATGCCAGGCAAACTCTGCACCAAGTACAATGACGTTCTCTCCACCCAGAGACTCTACAAAACACAACACAAATTAAGCTCTCAAGTTGCTCTTCTTTCTAGCTTCTGCACTGTGACTGATGTTTGTCATCCAATGTTATCAGGTTTTGCTTATTTCTGTCAGCTCTTCTTCAGTCTTCATTTGAAAACTCATGAAACTATCACAATAAAATATTGTTGAAGCTTATGTTAGAAATTCCATTGTATATCACCAAACTTTTTTCTTCGTAAAATAAATGAGCTCCTACTTCAGACAGCAAGCTAAAAATAGAAAAATAGGACATCAACATTGTTTTCTTTGCTATTTCTCTAAAATTCTAATTTAAATTCTCTTCACTCCTCAAGGTGAAGCCATTTTTATCTGGAAAGGGTAACAGTACCAGCCAGTCAATACATGATTAGAATAACAGAATCCTAAAAGAAAAAAGGGATTTAGGAATCACATAGCTTGATCTTTTTATTTTAAAATGAAAATCTAAGTCTCAAAGAGCCAATGCTACCTGCTCAAAAGCTACATTCTAATGACCTGCAGAGCCGACACCAGAACCCACCTATTAGGACCTGTGATGCTTCCTCCATTGCTAAATCCACTGTGCCACATGTTCCTGTGTCCCTCTGAACTGCTGTGATTGAGGTGGATCTGTACTTTAGAGCCAGCGCTCCCTCTGGCCAGGACACGAGAAACCATGCTGCCTTTCGTAGGAGCTGCTGTTGATGACAGGTTTCTCTTTTGCCAACCAGGTTCCAGTATCTATATCTCATCTTTCTTATTTAAACCATGTGTATTCCTGAGAGGATAATAAGCCTTACGACATTTCTGAAATAGTGCCATGTATTCAAACAACAACAACAAAAAGGAAGAGCTTCTTTGGGTCAGCCAAGATGTACTGAGATGAATACAGCCGAGCCCCTATGACACGAGCTCACCTGTCCTGGGGTGACAGGCAGGTAAGCAGATAAGAGTGCAGAGTGAGGAGAAAGGGAGGCTGAGGGGACTCGGAGGAGGATGCAGGCGTGCACGCCAGCCTGCGGGGAGGACAGAAGTTCTCAGAGGGGGTGACACGTGAGCTGCATTCTGAAGAGTAAGTAGGAGTGTGCCAGGAGGAGAGCGGGGGTGGCGTGCAGGCAGGAGGAAGCAGCCTGCACAGAGACGGAGCGGCTTGTGAAAGGGCACAGTGAGAGAGGAGGAGAGATGTTGAGTGTTGCTGGAGCTGGGAGGGAAGGAGAGTGAGTGGGCTGTGGCGGAGAGGAAGCTTCTGGACGCACAGTTTGGAGCCAGACTCTGAAGGCTACCAG